CTTACATCAACTTTAATTAATAATTCCTTTTAAGCTTTAATCCCCAGGCTAGCGAGTACAACATAATTTGGTTTTTTTCCTTTTTATTTTTTAAAAAATATTAGCTCCATAATTACGTTCACATTATAAATTTTTAAATGCATATCTACGCACTTACTCTAATGTACTCTTAAAAGATTAAGTCATCAAACAACTAAACTATTATTTGAGAAAAAAATTTTAATTTAGTAAAAAAATTATAAATTTATGAAATTAATTAAAAGACGAATCCAGGAACCACAAAGGACAAAAAACTCTTGCAACAAAGATTTAACGTCATCATATTTTTAGAACTTGAACTCAAAATTTTTAATTAAATTAATACAATTTTTTATTAATTGAACTAAATGTTTGTTGATTCGTTTACCTGTTTTTTTTTTTTAATGCAAGAAACTAGGTGTGAATTAGGCTCTTTTAGTCTTAAATTGTTTAGATGTCATTTCACATCAAAATTTTCTTTCTTTTTTAAATTACTACAATGCTTTCAAATTTCAATCCAAATTCATATTAAAATTAAATAATTTTGGTTATATATTTTAAAAAAACACCAATGATCGTGTTTCCGCTTATATAATCAATTCTATGATGGGAAAAAAAATTCAGATTAATTAAACAAGTCAAGGGGAAAAAAGGGAGGCAGGCAAATCTAGGTACTTGGATGGCATGAAGATTATACAAAAATAATTGAAATAAAAAGAAAAATTAAATCTAGTTTTGAGAGTTGATTCTGCTTTCAATGAAGCATTGAAGAGCCTTTACTTGAATGTGAAGAGACAGCGAAATGGATAGCCCCTAAAGCTGCTTTGAGTATTAATTAAGATGTCTCTGTCTTCATTCAAACCCATCTAATTTGTCCACTAAATCATAACCTTCTCATAAATACACTTTGACTAATACTATCCTTCATCATCCATCAATACAATAATATTCATGTAAATTTTAAAGTCATACTTGTTTTTAAATATTGCTTCCTCCTTGTTTTAATATAAGATAGATTTAACTAAGTTCTTGCTTATTAAAAAATAGTGGTTATATCCTTAATTTTTTTAAAATATGTAACTTTTCAATTTTTTCATTTTTTACAATTAATAATCATAGTAAATTGCAGTTTATGAATTCAAACTATTATTAATAAACAATGGGTAAAATTTAAAAAAAAAGTTTCCAACAAAAAAATTTCAAAGTGTTTTATATTAAGGATGAGATTGAGTATAGGACAAAAATGTGGCAGTTAATTTTTTCCCCTCACCCTCCCTAATTGCAACAAGTTGTTAGCATGCTTTTAATTTCTATATACTCTATCCTCCTGTTAAAAAATATAAAAACATTTTTAATGAGATCAAGTGTTAAAAATATAAGATATTTTTAATTTTTAATATATAATTAATGGGTTTTTTTCATAAATCCTCTTTAAGTGAATATTCTATTAAATAAGAGCAAACATAAAAAAAAATACTATTAGTTTAAAGATAATTAATTAATTAATTGAACTTGTAATTTGGCTAAAAATAACTCATACTCTCTTTAGACCACAATACATTATAGAGTGTTATAAAAAATTTTCTAAAAGTCATGCTTTGATATAAAATGTAAGACATTGGGCGAGTTATATATATATATATATATATATATTTATATTTTCAATTATACTCTTACCTTATCATACTCTATACATGTAATTAATGAGAATATTTTGAATAAGTCAAATGCTATATATTTCTCAAGAGAATGATTGAAAAGATGATAATTTTTTTTAAAAAATAATGTTTTGACTAATTTTTTAAAAACAAATTAATTAATAACAATTTATATAGAACATTTTATTATTGTTATTAATTTCAATAAAAGATAAAAGTTGAAAGTCACGTGCTTCTTTCACAAGTATCAGCTGTCAAACAGGGAATATTTAGATTAGAATTTTCTGTCATTTTCTGCAACAAAAAAACTGAACTGTGTTATTGTGATTAGGGGTATTCAACCTAGACCCATCCTGATTGGCTCGGTATGATTGGGACAGGTCTTGTCCCGGCCCGAAAATAATCGGAACGGGACAGGAAAGGGGTTCGGGACGGGACGGGACGGGACACGGGATTACTATCGGGACGTCTCGTCCCGTCTCGAATATTATATATATTATTTTTTATTTAAATATATTAATTATATTAATATAATTTATACTTATATTAATTATATCAATTATAATTGTAATACTTGCAATTCTTATTTAAAACTAAATTTTTTTATATTGATAATTTTAATGGCATGGAGTAAGCATGGCGATATCTTTCTTTATAATATATTAATTATATTAATATAATTTATTCTTAAATCTATCTATTTAATAACTTTTATTTATAACATATTTCTTACTTATTTTTAGAAGAGTAATTAGCTTAGTACATCTTCATTAAAGTAGAAAAATAATGATTTGATGTTGTGTTTGACTTGCTTGTTGTTGTTAATCTTATAGCATAAAGATCACTTGTATTTGTTATTATAATATGTAGTTATGATTGATATAATTCAATAATTAATTTTAAATTATTGTTATTTATGTGCTTGTGTTGTTTTGATTTTAAACTTAATAAATTATATGATTTAAAATTTTAATGAACGTTATTATTCAAATTTTTTTTCGATGTTATTCTATTTATTGGGACGGCGAGACGTCCCGATCTTGTCCCAGTCCCGTCCCGACTCTTAACGGGACGGAACGACTTTCGGGACGGGATGAGACACGAGACTAAAATTCAGTTCCAATCTTTTTTTCGGGACGGGACACGGGATGGGGGTGTATCGATCCCATTCCGTCCCGTGAATACCCCTAATTGTGATATAAACATTCTAAATTTTTTACATTTCAAGTTTGTAGTGAGCAAATTGTAAAATTTTCAAAAGGGCTACAATAAACTTATCGGTGATCATTCACATATCAAATAATAGTCTATCATTGAAGCCATCACTGACATAATATATTGATACTTGTAACCATTATTTTTTAACGAGAATAAGATGTAACAGAATATTTCTGGATTCTTCTAGGTGGATGCCAATTATTCATCTGTATGAAGTTTTTAATAATGCTTCCGAGAAAAGAAAATGGTGATATAAAAGCCTCTATACATGAGAAAAATTAGGAAAGTATGAAAAGGAAAGTATCATGTTATGGGTAATTAAATTGAAAATATATATTTTACCAAAAAAATAAATTGAAAATGTATATTATTTTTTTTGGCCAACAAAACATATATTATATTTGTTTTTTAGGTTCAAACAAAGCCAAAAAAAAAAAAACATGCTAACTTAGCATTTGAATTGAAAATGTATTTTCATCTCTATGACAGGCCCATTTGGACTTTCTTGATTTTAAATTGATAGAGTTACATTCAAGTTCTTCTCAATATATTATGTTATGGCAACGTACTTGTCCTTTAGGTTATAACTCTCTTAACTCTTCAATCTATATTTTACGTGATTGTAAAAAAGTTAAAGAGGTTTGAAAAAAAATTAGTTAACCATACTAAGCTTAACACCTTCTCCTCTCTTAATGTAGAGGGTTGGATAATCTGAAATGCAAAAGTCGAATCAAGTAGCTTACAAACAAGAAGAATACCATGGCAGAGATTTTTTGCATAAGCTTGTTGGAATATTTGAAAAAATAAATCTAAAAAGTTATACTCAGAAGAAGATACCACGGACAGTGACATTGTCTTCTCCAGCACCCGACAAATAAATAATGATTTGAAGCTCCTATCGTTTGAACAGAAGAAATATTGCTAGTGAGGTTAAATGGAGCCCACTGAAACACAGATAAGTTAGACTCAACATTTATGGCTTAGTCAACATCAATAGATTTACAGCTTGCAAAGGTATCATTAGAGATTACAAAGAAAATTGGATTAAAGAATTTTTCAAATACCTTGGATATCAACCTAGCACTTCAACTGAACTTATGAAAATCTTTAAAGGATTCAATCTCTGCTAGAATATGAAATTAACCAAAGTCAATGTCCACATACGACTCGATGGAAGCACTATCACTTATTAACAGCACATGCTTTGGAAGTCACCCCTTATCAGGTGTTATTAGGAATATCAAGAAACTCACTATGAGAGACTAGATTGTTACCTTTAACCATATCTATAGAGAATCGAATAGATGTGCAAACCTATTAGCCCACTGACCAATGCTCGACACTTCTAATATTATGATTTTTAATGTTCCCTTGATAGACTGTATTAACCTCATGATTTTAAATATGACTAAAATATAGTTTCTTTGCACAACTTTGCTATAGCCTTGTAATAAAAAAAAAGAAATAGTGTTATCATTCTCCTATATTCAATTATCAATAGACTTTGGAATAATTAATTGTATTGAATGGCCCCCTAAAGTAATTTTCCCTTTCAAATTTGGCAACACCAAAGAATATGGCCTGTAGGTTGTAGGATTTCCGTATTGGAATTGAGAGCATTAAAAAGAAAAGAAAAGAAAGAACAAGCAAACGTTACATTATATATAAATAAATTTTTTATTGAATTAACTTGTGAATATAGACTTAGCCTGTTTTCACCGAAATTATGGTTTCGGTGATTTAAATCACAGGTAAAACCAAGCATGCATTGAATATCATTTATCACACAAAGCATATCCATATATTTAAATTATTGTATGCCATGTTTATGAGGCGAGCTCATTCTGCTTTCAAAGGCAACTTCTTCATGATGGTATTCGTGTCTTTAGTCCTAGCATTTTGTGGGTCACAGTGCTTCATCTCCGTGGAAGTTGTTGTTATGTAGGGTCTTTTAATTTCCGTTTTTTTTTTTTATTTACTACTTTTATGTCTTAAATTTTTGTCATATATGGCCAGTAGGTGTCTTAGGATTTTATGCACTGATCGTTTTTATCTAAACATAAATTTGACTCGTGTTGTGCAAACATTCTGTAAAAAGGAAAACAGTAGACTCAAACTTCACTGATTTAGGGAGCTGTTTCTTCTAAGAAAGAAAATCTCCATCAGATGTTCCTTAACCTTAAATACATTGATTTGTATAAATGACCAAAAAAAAAAAAAATCATCAATGAATAAAATTGTTGAATAATCAAAACTGATTAATTAATCAAGCAAAAAGTCAACAATGTCATTCTGACTTATCAGTCTCTCTCTTCCCTGCAAGAATCATTGAAATCTGCAGGCCTCTGCTGAATGCCTGGTTGAAGAGTAAACGTGTTTGGAACTCTGAAACAAATGGGAACCATGAAAGAATGGCTGTTGGCATGAAGATTAATAATCCCATCACATATTCATATGCTCTGGATAGCTCTTTCACTGAAAACCACAGTTTTGCTCCTTTCAAGAAAACTTTGCATGCTTGAGCAATCTTCACAGTAAAAGGAAAAGAGAATCTCAGTGGTTTTTAATGTTTTGTATCCTCAATGCAAATATGTGTGTGTTCAAATACATCAATAGAAATCAAGATATCCATATACTTGATGCATGAATTTTGAAGGTGAAGAGAGGAGCTTTTTGTCATAGTTCAGAACTTTAGGGAATGGACTCTTAACAAAACATCATTATCTTTTGGTAATGGACTCAAACAGAAAAAGAAATTTGAAGTAATTATTTCCCTGCTTTTCCAAAGAGATGTGTCAGATAGTAACGTAAAAGCAAAAACGTATTCTTAGATAGCAGTTGTCATTATTTCTCATAGCATGCGGAGGTTTAAACTTACCAGAATAATGGCCCATCCAGAGGGCATGAAGGCGAGAATGGCAGCAAACAAATCTGATATGGTCAGCCCACATACCACAAATAACACAGTCATGACTGACAAGAAGCCAAGGAAGAGGAGAGCCTTTAGAATACGAAACATAAGCTGAAAGTCGGTGCCGAATCTTCGTCTACCCATTGATACCAGCTGTTGAGCACAAAGGATTATCACAGACAATAGCAGATAAAATGCATGTGTAGGAAAGGAAAATAATCTAAATTGTAGAATGCCAGAATAATAGCATAAATGGCACATAAATTTCGTTGGAAACGACTATTTTACATCTAACATTAAACCAAACAAAATCAATTAATCTAGATTAACTATATTTTGTAGTCAGACAATTCAACATCTTAATCCGTCAAGATCTTTGGTTAGCATTGACGTACCTTTAGCACAATAAGAACAGTTACCAAAACTGCCCAAGAAAGTCCAAACACCTAAGAGGAAAACAGAAGGTAGTAAGATGGTGCCATAAGGCTAGCTATCATTTAATATGACAGGATAACACATGAATGGGTTATAGTGTTAGTACCAGCAAACTCTTGCTGTGATGAGCTATATCCAAGTGATAGACAATTCCATACTGGTACAAAAAGAAGCGAAATGCGAGTATTATCTCCAGTACTTTTCCCCTCCAATTTGAATATTTCAGGTGTTCATTCTCTTCCTCCCACCAAGATTCCCAACTTTTGTCAGGTGGGATACCAATACCACCACGATTTCCCATCCACCTTTTCCAATCTGTCCAATCATCTACTGTTTTTTGCCAATCAAACCCAGAGGGATTAAACAAGGAGGGAGCAAACAGCCAGGAAACAGCCAAGAACCACATTGAGATCGTAATGAACAAATAAAGATGTGAACTGCGATATGACTCCCCATAAACTTCATAGACAATCAAGAGAATAAGAATTTCCAATCCCTTCACAAAGTGACTTCGGGAGTACATCCTGTAGTTATCAGCAAACTTTGCATGAAATACAACAAAACCACGACCTGTTGGTCTATACTTTGAGCCTCCGTGCAAGAGTGTTCTTCCATAGTAATGTGCTTTTGTTCCAAGCTGGAAAGTAAAGAACACAGAGGCCAGCTGCAGCTGCATGATGACAAAATCACTTAAGGCAGTGTGAAAACCCTTCTCCAAGCCAATTTCCATAACCATGGGCAGCACCAACAGTAAGCCCAACTGAACTAATGACTGTGTTGCCAGGGCCTCTTCAAGGGCTTTACTCTGTTCTATGTTTGGACTTTGAAGAATTTCTCTCTCAACCCCACTCAAAACCATATATAAACGTCCATATAAGAACACATATACAGTCAACACAGTGATCTGAAAGGAAAAATATCACATAACAATACAGTCATAAACTTTATCCCATTTCAGCAATAAATGCAGGATTCTAATATAAACATTTTGGCCAAAAAAAAAAATATGACAATGACTTTGGCCAGATATCCCTCTCATATGATCATTACCCCAAAAAAAAAAAAAAAAAAGAGATCAAAGATCATGGCTCTAATCACAGAAGAATCCATTACAAGTCATAAATTGGTTTATGTCGACATTTTTTTTATTATTTCATTTGGTCCTGAGAAACTAATGTCTACTAAGGAAAGAAGCCTTTGATCATGTATGGAGGAAAAGACAATAAGGTCTTAAATAAGTGAGGTTCATTCTAGATGTGTGCGGGTGCGTATGGTCCACAACAGCTATCATTGTCTAAAAATAAAAACAGCTATCAACTGTCAAGACAATATCAACATTAGATCGGTTACCATGCTGCTGAAATAGAAACCAACTGTTGTGAAGTAGAATGACAACATCCTGAAGAAATCAAACCGTCTTCCAAGTCGATATACATCACGGCTTAGTGTTTGTTCTCCATTCCCATTGGCCACCTTAGCTTCAAATAGAGAGATCTGATTCATGCCCACATCACGCCCTTTACCCACTTGGATGTACTCATGGTGTGTGATAAATCCATTACGTAGAGTTGAATTGTATCCTATGGATATTAGCAGTTAGCCAACAAGTTTTATCAATCAGCCAGTCATTTTCTGCAAAATCTTAAATTACCTGCAAATATGTCCTCGCTCAGGTTTATTACTCTTGAAGCTTTGCTTATGCCACCTCCTGTTATGTGGAATAATCTGTCAAATATATCAGGATGACCGTAGTGGAATCGCACCCTGCAACAGTAAGAATTAAGGAATGAGTCATTTACCTAAAGTTGGTAAATAAAATTTTACTACACATGCAAAAAAAATAAATAAATAAAGAATAAAAGAGGAATAAAATTTTGCAAAAATAGTTTTCAGTTCTTTCCAGATATATCATTATTAATTATACTATCAGTTGTTTTTACTATGACTCCCAACTCTATCAGAGTGGGGCTTACTTCAGCACCTCGAATTAATGTTACAATTAGGCAATTCCATCCAACCATTGACTCCCAGAAAACGATAAGCACACTAGATACTCTGTTTCAGACAGCAAACTGAAACAAGATAAACTGCCTATTCTTAAAGCAATGAAGTGGCCAAAACTGACTTTTAAGTTAATGACGTTCCATTTCTATAAAATACTCTGATTTTCCACAAAAGTAGGTAATAATATGGGTTCTGGAATGGTTACAGATATTAAATAAGGTAATTTTCTTTTTCTCCAAAATATAGGGTATAGATACAAAAGGTGGCAAGAGGTACAGGTACCTTACCCATACCGCATGAATTGGAAGAATCCCTCCACCAAAAAAGAAAATATAGACCAAGGCAGAAAAATATAGGATGAAAATTCCAAACAGCCAGTAATGCTAAATTACAGGCACTTAGATTTGATGTTAAAAATCAGTTCAAGAACAAACCAATTGGAACCAACCTCAGAGGATTTGCTAAAATTCGTTGTCCAATGGTCACAAAACTGGTCTCCTGGTTTGACATGAACCAAGCAAGTGATGAAACACTGCAAAACAAAGTCATAAGCTCGCACAGCAGGTTCATTGCCATATGTGATATAAAAAAATGATCATATAATCTAATTAAATCAAGTTTAATACTTTGATATTGTTACTAGGCTTACCTTCCGGTAAAAATATGCTCCCTCAGACCCAATATGGTGGGCTTTCGTTGACCACTGTGATCTTTATGGAATTCCTCCAGTACATTTCTCATTTTGAAAGCTTCTTCATAGTAATTATCCTTAGAGGGGAAAAATGCAGAAACAAGCTAATAAATTATAGCGACTACATTTTAATGCATCCATATGAATAATGATTCTTCCACAACCATTGTAGTCACAGTTATGAACAACCTATATAGATTTGGCCTGAGTTCAAAAAATATGTGAAACTGCACAAAGTTGTAAAAGCAACCATCGTTTAAGTAGCATTACTCATCCTAAAAAAAGGAAAAAGAAAAAAAGCATTATTCCTCATCAATTAAATTTTTGGGGAAAAAAGCAACCTGATTCATGTCTATGGCCTGCAGAGCTTCACCACGCGTAAATATAATGGCATGGTTTTGGTTTTCAGGCTTCCCTTCACCAATTTCTGTTGGAGCACCAGGAAGCTTGATGCGATATATTTCCTAGTAATGCAGAATAGGAGCATTTGCATTAGAAAGTTATCCTTCAAAACAAGAACGTTGACATTGTAAGTTGTTTATCAACCACTGGTGTACTTTGATCTAGATTGATGCAAGCATCCGACAATATTTGTTCGACAAACTATAGTTTAGCTTTCCAATATGTGAGCTAGAAATCTTACTGGAAAGCAAGATTATCTTTTATATACTTTGATGAGCAACTAACGAAGTTTTGTTCAGAAGTAATAAAAACAAGTACATAGCATGCATATTGCTTCTAGTGTTAAAAAAAAAAAACAAATAAAATGTAAGAACTGCAAAATTCCAAGACATCTAAGGAAAGGATCTATAAATAAAGGATATGTATTAATGAAAAAGATAGAAATCTCAACTACAGCTCACTGACACAAAAGAATTTACCAAGTTTCTCATAATCCCTCTAAAATCCTACCACAATCTGGAGGGGAGGGTTTAAAGGGTAAAATTTTCCCTCTCCCCTCCTCCATTATGCTTTAACAAAACTAGGGGAGGAGAGGCACCTCCTCCCATTTTTTCCAATGAAATAAGAGAAGAAGAAAAAAATTATTAAAATTCTCTCCACTTCCTTCTCATCCAATCTAATCATAGTCTAAAGTTGGCCTATTTAGACCATCGGTCTTTTAAAGTTGGCTCTTGTAAGCCCACTTTCTAATTTGAAACTTTAAATCTAAATCTTGAGCTTAGCCCAACAATTATCGATCTTAAATGGGTCACCCTATTGCCCTTCCCTGGCCATAATGTTTGCTGTTTCTGGAGGCCTATTTTTTTAAAATAATCTGACTTAACTAGCTTAATTATCCATACTTTGTATAGAGGGATCTAGTCGATTGAGTCTGATTGGCTGACATTCCCGACATTCCTCATGTAAGCAGCTTTTCTTCGTGTGTTCAATAATAAGAAATACAGAGCCTTGACTCCGAGGTCTGTTTTTCAACATGGGATAATATCTGACAATGTTCTGAGCAAATATTATGATCTCGTTTTGTTCTGTGAAGGCGAATTGCTTTTGCTTGTTTGATGAGGACTCTTCTGTGCCGGCCATCCAATGCCCCATCAAACAAACACTTTTTCCACAACATGAAAGCCGACGATCAGTCCCCTCTGATGATCAAGGAGCATTGGTTCAATGGGAACTACTATCTTGTGTTTAGCATCAGAGGGTACTTATTATATTCAAGGCCAATGAAAGGATGGATATTACTGAAAAAGCTGCTGAATCTGCTGTATCAGAGCCAAAATTCAGAACTTGGGTATCAAAAATAAATTAATAATGGTAAACTCCATGGCAACAGACCCAAAGTTCAGAACCTGGGTACAGAGATATGGGGAAAGCTTCGTGATGTTCAGGACCCCAAAAGAAAAATAGGAAGCAGAATGGGACTCTAGTCTTAGTCTAAAGTGGAGAACTCAGCTCTATTCCTGATCAAATGCATATTGATGAATCTGAAACAGGGAGATGCTGCTGAGAAATGAAAATAGGTTGAAAATTGATCGATGACTTTTGTTTTAGAGTCGTACTTCCATTGAAACTATTAGATGAACTGATTGAGTATATGATGGCTAGTTATTAGGTTTTGTACACTTCAACTTAATTTTGGTTAAGAGATACTCCCTCCAATCCTTATTACAGGAAACTTTCAATTGTTTCATGCATATCAAGAAAAGTTAGTTTGTTTTCTTGATATCTTAAAATAGTTAGATACACTTTCATTTTTACCCTTGGCTTTAAATGATAATACAGTTATATTAAATACCTTAGATACACTTTCATTTTTACCCTTGGCTTTAAATGATAATACAATTATATTAAATACCTTTATGCTAATCAAGAAGGGGTAAAATTGGAAAAAACAATTTAATTATTGCAAAGTGTCCCATATTTTGGACCAAAAATTACTTCTAGAAGGTGTCCTATAGATAGAACTGGAGGCAGTATATTGCTTTAGAACTTAATTTCCAAAAGGATTGGTTTTGAACCTGCAAAACCTATTTTCTTTGATCTAAAATTTCATTCTAGGAGGAGAAAGATTCATTTTTGTTAGGTGTCTTTCTAAGGTGCTCCGCATAACTGCTAAAGATAATTTTGTTTTCACCCTCTGTCATTGGAGACAAATCTTGCTAAAAGGGAAGTGTAGTTTGCACCCTTTTCAGAGTCTACTTTGTTTGCACTTTATTTGGACTCTATTTCTGGACACTTTCCTAACAAATGCTATTTTGACAAAGTACTACAACACCTTGGTTAAGTACTCGCATTTGCAACATGAGCTTTGTGATGTATGATGAAATCATGGGAGTATTAGGGCTACACATCCATTCCCTTCTCTCAGGATGTTATGACTTAGGCATGTGGACTGAGATGTGATGGGCACTATAATGCGTTGAACGCAAAGCCACTAAACCATAAAACATGCCCATGTCAACAAACTGAGATCCTGGGGAAACTTTTTTTTTTTTTTTGGGATGAGTGATCAATACCCACAAATTTATCAACTATTAGACTTCAAAATAGACGTTCATTAGAGGCAATAAGTATATTGCGGAGGGTTTGAAAAGTGTTCCAAACAATACACCTACACAACTAAGCAAGTCAAATATGCATGAAGCAGAAATGACAAGAAAACATGGAGCTAGAATTTTGTTTATACCTCGTCATACTTGTCACCTCCCTTGACAAGAACAGAGTAATAACATTTCTGACTTTTTCCCTCAACAGTTTCCTCTTTTTCATCTATGTAAGCAACACGGAGAGCTGGATTGCTGCATGGCATTATATTATTGAAGAGTTAGAAGCCTAGAATTTCACATTATACAAGAATTATCTATGGTTCAGCAAATGGTTATCTTGACTCACGTTAACATCAAATTGAGAATATTAGCATAGCGGCCTTTCTCTTGAGGATTCTGGGATTTTTTCTGAGAACCATAGATTTGGCAAGAAACAACATAGGTGAACTTTAAATCAGCCAAGGCTTGTGCAAGGTCTAAAGGGACCTTCTTATCATTTTCACTGAAATCCAAGGTTTGGTAGCCATCAAAGATAGCTGCAAGTAAACAATAGTAAGTTCAATAATGAATGAATGGCTTCCGCTAAATCTAAGGATTTAGATTTGAATCACTCATAGAAAAGAGAAAGTTAACCTTTGTCTCCTGCATGTTCTAGGAAGCACTGAAGGTCCAGAGCTTTCCTGTAGTACAACATTCCCCTCACTAGCAAAAAGACATAAAAGAATGATGATCATAAAGAACTATGTATGAATCTTTCTAAAAGAATATTCACCACAATCTAGACCTGTTCGATAGAGAGTCTGTCCTCTGTATGATGCCCACTGACGAAGACACTCCTTCTCATCGATATCTTCAAATTTACTTGTCAGTTCTTTCATGCGTTCCCGGAAATTGGTCCATTCATCTGCAGTCCATTTACAGTAAGCAGTTGCCAAAAGCACAAAAATTATAGAAGGCCTACGAATGAAAAACAATTACCAGGATATATCTTCTTTAGGTAGAACAAAACTGATATCCCATCTTCATTTTCCTTATGTAGCTCCTCCTCAGAATAAAGAACATCTTCTTTGTAATATGGAGTCAGGACACTATAGCAAAATTTAAGGTAAGAAAGAAATAGGGTGAATGATAAGCCTGGAATAAATGGACTTTGACACACGAGACACCCCACCCACTCTCTCTCTCTCTCTCTCTCTCCCCCCCCATCACAGGAGCAGCCCCTTTCTGCTTTACTTATAATAATATGATAGGTATTAAATACAATATAAACTGTTGATGATCTGTGTTGAAGTTTGGAAATCACATGCTGCTCTCTAAGCTGTTTGTCATGGGCCTTAGATGTGCCGATATTTCAATGTTATCCTTTCTCTTCTATTGCCAAGTAAAGTGCTCAAGAATTGGTTGATACTCCTATTAGAGTTCAAGAATCAAGATACTGATGTTTGGGGTATTTCTGGCATTTTATCCCAAAGGATGAGCCAATTAAAGGTCTTGAGTATGAAATTGAAATAAGTGTTTACATATAAAAAGAAACTTCCCCAACATGAAATAACTAGAAAAGGGGCAGCACTGGAATGCTAGAGTTGTATCAGAAAAAAGGGGACCTGAGCACCTAGGAGATGTGGTTGAAGCTTTGACCCTGGAAATGGAAACCAAGTCCCTATTCTAGCGACTTTGAAAGTACAGCAGAAATATGGTGAATGATGAGGCTTGTACACAAGCAGAGCTCTCACACACTTGCACTAGCAACCCCCCCTCCTTTAGTTATGATAATACGAAGACAGTGGCTAACTACATCATAAACTCCTAAGGATAACAATAGTGAACTCTAAGATTCTAGCTAATGATAAATCTGAACTCTGGATAAACTTCTAATCCCCTAGGTGTTCCACTTAGATAGGTTTCTTGACAGAGAGAAAAGGAATGAAATAAAAGAGCCAGGAGGATCAGGAATCCTCCCATAACAAGGAAGAAAATGCCATTGCATATGAAACAAGGCAGATAAGTTCCCCATCATGTTAGCAAGAATTTTGCATGAAACAAAAACACACACACTCTTGGGGGTCTCATTAGTTTCTATATCAGGGAATGCAACCATATAAGTAAACAAGACATTGGGGAAGACAAGTAAAAGAGCTGCTACAATGAAAAATTGCACTTAATAACAAAATGACTCTTGAAACTGGCTTCCAAATAAACAAAACACTTTATATACAGAGTAGACTTCTTCCTTCTATTTTGACCATGTAAATTCATTATTTTCCTTTCTTTTTGTCAAAGACCTCATCAATCCAGAATCCCAAGTTGTTATGTAAAGGCTCATCAATAATTTTTGTTAATATCTCCTATTATCTTCCATTTCCATAAATTAGTCCATCACAATGACTAACCTGAAGGATAACATGTCCCGTACTATGGGAGCCTTTGGCATATTCATAAATAAGGAGTTCGCAAAGAATGTAATGCGTCGGCGAGCTTCTATATTTTGTGGTATATTTATGGCAGATTCCTTGACTGTCAAAAGCAAATGCAGCCTAGTAACCTATAGAGAAGCCAAACCAAAAACAGAAAAAGAAAAAAAAACAAAAGTCAATGTGGAGAAACACAAGAATGATTCATGTGATGCGTTAGTTAGGATGTGATTGTACGGAATACCTTCTCCTTCCATGGTTTGTCCCTTGTAAGATATGTGTCAATGTTAACAAACCTCTGTCCTTTCTTTTCATCCTCTACCATATGCCGGAGAGGTGCTTCCAGGATTCTGGGAAGAGCAGAATAAAACACTTGTCATAAAGCTGAAAGAAAACTTGTCAGCTAAAAGCAGATCACGCATTTTGATGCCAATAAATGTTCTGGAACTTACAAGGCCCATCAATCATAACATCCTGTATGATGATTTCCACTATATCCTGCAGGACATTGACTATCTGTGGCTTCAATCCCTCAATTTTGTCATCTTCTGATGTTAATAAAGTTAAAAATTTATCCAACTTCTCACTAAGTGAAGGCAAGCCACTCATCTTGAAATTTTTAACAAATGTGCCCTGTTGTATGCTCATTTCTACTTCATCGCAAATGAGCTTGATTACCCTGTTTCATACAGGCAAGAGATCAGACAGTCACGAGGATTTCTACAAACAGAAATGAACTTCGTGTTTGTCTTATTATTATTTTTTTTTCCCTCCCTTGTGGCTCATTGTTTTGGAAAAGGGAGGGGGAGGTTGTGATGCTTATACAAACTCCTCCTTACATCTTGTCTTCTTCAGCCAGCAGAAGGTTCTGTATGATTTCCCTGAGGGTCTCATAACATTCAACAACTGCTGAATGCATGTAGTCATCAGTCTTAATTTTTTTAAACAAATCAGCATCCTCCTTTCCCTTAAAGTCTTTTGCCATGTCAACCGCTATAGGAATCTGTCATATATGGAAGGAAGTTCAGAAATATATAAGACAGAGAAGTCCAATAAATTTTGGTTCTAATATTCTCATTCAAACCACATACCTTACTAGCAAGCAAGAACGGAGGCCACTGAATGACAGAAACATCACTTGAACGGTAGGGAACAAGCAGAAGATCTCTATCTCTGGACAATTAAAAGTGAATATATATATATATATCAGAAGATTGAAATCCTCACATTTTATGCAAGATGTACTAAGCAAGGAGCATTTTGTACCTATTGCTAATGAGGTCTTCCTCTCTCATCGTATTAATGAACTCATTCCAAACCTGAGAGAAGTATGCAATATTCCTGCGTTCAAATTGGTCCTGCCAAACAAATTGTTTGCTTTAGCCAGCAGCAATTATATACAACATTTTGGGTATCCAATCAAAGCCAGCAAGAACTTCTGAAATGTAAAACGTAAAATGTAGTACAATATCCTCTTTTCTAGGTCTTCATTTCTTCCAGGCAAAAAGCAACGACTAAAAGCATATGGTACAGCTTCAAATCTGGAGCGCAGCATCCCAAGCGTTCTTATCTAAAGAGGCAAATTGACAAGGAGATTAGTTGACAAAAATCCATTTTATCATCAGAGAATAGAACTTTACTCAGATTATTAGAAAAATACCAATTTTTACATGTTGGTAAAAAAAAAAAAAATCTAATGATGAGTTAAATTTTCCTGTAAAAATAGAACTTTACTGCAACAAATCTTTCTTTCTTGAGGAAAAAGAATTAGAAAGAGGATTACAAAGTCAAATATCACATTAAATGTTCTAACCCACAATGGCTGAAGCATTTCCGATAATCCCACCAAATATAGGCATTCCATAATTAACTTTTGGCTCAACAAGGGGATATATCAAAACCAGTTCATTAGTTCTGAGTAATTAAAATATACAGAAAATTCATATGTACGGAAAGAAAACTGAAAAGGCATTTAGTCAACTACAGCTACAATTTGAAGGCAACAATTTGACATTACATCCAATGGAAAATATGTTCCTAACATTTATATTTTCTTTCTTATTGAAGCTCTGCATTTTAACATCAAGCACATAACAGTGAAGAAAAAGTGTTAGCTGAAGGACTATCACCTCCACATAGTAGCTGAATGCTATCTTACTAATCAGCAGCATGATCCAAAACAGCGTATACACCTGCCATATTAAAGGAGTTTCAACGCAAAAGCAGAATGAAAACTGGCAATTAAGATAGTCTGGAGTATAAGATACTTCAGAATATAATTTTCCCCCTTGAGACAATGAAGTTTATAAAAAATTTCTCACATTGGCAGGAAACAGAATTTTTCCACCGTGTCACCCTCCTGAACCTCACAGATCCATGAAAAAAACAGAAGGGAAAAAAGGAAAATGCACATTCATCTTTCACTTACTTCAGGAGTGATAACACGTTCTCATGCATGCCCCTTCCAATATACAATTTGGGCTGCAGTATGATCAATTAAGTCAAATAACATTAAAATAAATTTCAACACAAGGGATGCAGAAAATTTAAACAAAAGCATCTAGAAACGGGTAGTTGTCAAACAAATGCATGTTTTATTTACCTGAGCCCACCACATGAAAAGAGTGATAACTCGCATATTAGAGCGCTCCAGCTTTCTTCTCAAAGGTGGAAGGAAAAATAGTATTGCAGCCACTACATTTGGCAATAAAAATATTTGCAACGAGATAAAAGTAAAGTGACTGGTTCCCCCAATCCCCAGCCCAACTGGTGAAGAATTTTATGAGCCATGATGGATTCTGAAGAGAATTTGAGTAACTGACTGGCAAGACTACAACCCAAACAGCTGCTACCACAAATTTCAGAAAATACCGTAGCAGTTGGGTAAATTTCATACTCTTCCAGGCATTCCAAGTAAGAATGATATCCAGAGTGACTGCATATAGAAGATAAGAGAAAAATAAGTTAAGAAATGAAGAAATTGAAACTATTGCTCCAGTTAACAAAAACTACTGCAATTATCAGAAAATTATGGATGGGCATGGGTACAGTATAATAGTACCTACAACCCAGACCCAGACCCATACAAAAATATGTTAGACCCAGACCCTGGCAAGTAACAATTGAAGATTTATCCTCATCTCTTATTAAATTTCAAAATCCATGGACCTGAACCAATTCAACCAGGGGGGGTACAAGAATTAAAAATTTCTTCGAATGTTGAGACTTTTTTACACAAAATATACTCATAGAATCAAACAAAATTAAGAAGCTCCAACATCTATGAATATAATTCAAAAGAACACCAACCAGTAATATTTTCATTTCTGAAGAAAAACTAACTTATTGATGAGAAAAGAAGACAATTTGCAAATCTTCGTTTATATAAATTTGACATGAAGTGTATTATATATATAAATAATTCACACACAAAAACACTACAGATAAGGGGCAAGGTGGATATTAGACTCCCAGGCTTCAATCTAACAATTGTTTAAGAAAATGCTCAGACCCAAACCGATTCATTAAAACCTATCCTAAACCTAAACAGTTAGAATTTTGTGGGAAACCATATGGAATGGGTACCCAGACCTGTTTATGATGCTCTGTTTTTTTTTTTTTTTTTAAATTCCCCCCAAGAAACTCTAACCTCCAAAAGGAAAGACCAGTAGCATTTTTTGGGTCTTTCCTTTGGCATTTAATTCATGACCTCTCTTGGTACAAGAGTTTCCAAGAAAAAGAATGGCACTCGATACTTAAGATAGTGTTAGATCAACATTCAACATCATCAAAAACAAGCTTAGTTACCTTGAATAAAATTGAGAAAAGCATATGATATGAAAATGCTCATAGCATTGTTTTGTACATCATCATCGAAAATCAAACCAAAAGGTCCCGCAGGATTCCAAGCAACAATTATCATCACCTGAAATTCAATAATACAACAAATGACAAAGCTCGTGAAGTTGTAAAACTATATGAGACACCCAAGACTAGCCGTACCTGTAAGGCCAATATAAAGAATATCCACATTCGATCAAAACTTCTATACAGGTGCAAAAATGTACGGATTTCCACAAAGTTTGTCTTGGGCTTCTTCTTTCCTGTTACTGAGCCAGCTCGGTTAGGACCCTATCAAAGCAAAGTTTACTTCAATGGAGATCTGGAAAATGATGTGAATGTATCATGTCATGTGATACATATCAGGAACAATTGTGTTGATGACAAAATTGTATTGAAAGCTCTGAATGGGCAAGCACAACTGCTCAAATAGGCAAAATAAATACATCTAGAGGACCTCCACACAAAGGAAATGTTTCCTTTCTGATATATGTGGCAAGGACTAAAAAAAGAAGCACAAGTGATTGAAAATGCAAAGTTTGGATGACGAAATTATACTTCATTAGCTCCCAAGACAGCCAAACACAAAAGTTGATATAATTGCTCAAAAGTATTATTTGATCCCTCTCACATATGATAAAGATAAATGGAACTCTTTCCATTTTCTTTTTGATAATTTCATTAAGTTCATCAGGATATTGTTACAGAAAAATGATGCTATAAACAAATGAAAGTGCAAACAATGATAACTTATTAGACTGCATATTAGAGTAAGCACATAAATATAGTAATTAATTCATGTGAAAAGAAATGTTCAATCATGGGGAAGAAAAAATAGCATGCAATGGCCACCTAAGGGCACACTTGATCTCCACTTTGATAGGCATGATATTGATGGAGACCAATGGGGTAAGAGATGCATAAAACGCACATCAAAACTATGGGATGTTTGTTAGAAACAGGAAGCGACCGCTTGGAAATGAGAGAAAAAGCAAAATGGATGAAGAGCAACAGAACAACACCACATGTTAACTTAAAACCTTAAGAGTCAAGTTTATGAGTCTTTCTCTTTTATTTTACATTAATTATTAAGCCCAAATTTACTCAATGTGGGACTTCTCATATCAACTTAAGTCCACATACACTCAGACAACTTAACAATTCCTCCCAAGTGTGAGTCTACAAGATTCATATATCAAAGACGCTGTAAACACCAAATTCCCTACTTCAAAGCCAATCCTATTTTTTGGCTTCAAAAATGTGGCACACACAAGTCCTTACTGTAGCTAAGGGCAGTCTCATTTTAGGACTCAAATGTATGCACAATATGATCTTTCAGGTCTCGAGTGAAACTAGATTCTAATACCACTGGTTAGGAATGGGGAATAACCAACCAGAAATGAGGGGAGAGGAGAAATGGGCAAAGAGTAGTGGAAGGAAACCATATCTTAACTCAAAACCTTAAGGCTCAAGTTTATGAGTCATTGTCCTTTATTTTATAGTAATTATTAAGTCCAACTTTATCCAATGAAGACTTCCCATATTGGTTTAAGTCCACCCACTCTTGAACAACTAAATAATCTCCCTCTCAAGTGTGAGTTCACAAGCTCCGCTTATCAAAGATGTCATAAACACCAAAGTCCTTACTTTAGGGCCAATCCCATGTTTAGGCTTCAAATGATGTATCACACGGCCCATGTTTTCGAAGGATACTTAATTTGACTGGTTTTCCTATCTCAATAACTATCCTTTCAGGTAGAGTATCCCACCCCACTTGAGTGCTCATTAGATGCCATTGTTCATTCTTCAGATTTGTAAGATTAGCATTTGGCACATAAAAAATCACACATGAAGATAGGAAACAAGAAAGAAACCTCATTCGCTTGGTACTTCTGATCTGAATGCCTAAAAAAATCTGCCGTTAGGTCCATTGGCCATCCGAGCCTAAAACATCTGTTAGACCTAGAAAAGTAATGAATTCAAGCTTTTTGTCAATTAAATGGATAACCCCAAATAAGGTTTTAAAATTTTTCACTTTATTCCAGTATTTACAAGTCATTAGTTCAAAAAGAGAAAGTGTCTCTACCAAAAGTATTCATTCAGATCATCATAATTTCTCCACATGGTATGGCTTGCCTTCCCTCTGTTATTTCTCTTTGCTTCCTATGCACCAAAAACAGAAAAGTGTTTCGGTCACAGATATTTACAAAGAAAGAAGTAGAAAACTTACTTGCTTTACAGCCACATGAAAATTACCTGGAGTAAAACTTCATAAATGGGAGTGATAACTTCTCTCAGAAAGCATTCTTCATCACGTGCTGCTCTTTGGTATGTGTCCCCACTCACAGGATGAACATTGCTATACAAAATCCCGTTGACATCATTGCACATCTTTGGAAATGAAAATAGAAGAGGGTTATTGCCAGTAATGAAGTTCCACAATGTATATAGTATCCAATTTTGGGAATTAACCCTTCTCATATTAAATATTTAGAAGGAAGGAGGGTATGAGGAGGAACCATTTCCCCTCATCCTTCCCTTCCCTCCAAATTGAGGGATAATGAATGGGAAAATTTTGCTCAGATTGTAATAGGTAAAAAGACAATAGAAGTAGAGAAGGTGGGACAGCAAAGAAAGAATCAAAAATCCAATTGCACTAGTGGTCAAAACTCCCTTTTCTGATTGCACAGCTAGTGTTACTTAGTAAGGAATTCTAACAATCTAGCCTCCTCAATTATAAGTCTGTTATTAACAGAACAAATAGCCTGATCATAAAAGCTTCTGGCTATTAAAAGGATAGGCTCAAAATATAAGAACAATATATAAGCCACTAAGATCAGACAAACTTACATTATGGAAAATGTAGCAAATACATTCAGGCATGAAGCGAATATTTGAAGCTTCACCCCATATAAGAAGGTAAAGTGCTATGTAAATCAGCTGTAGCTGTTGTTGGCATGACCTTCTTGAAGCCTGTAAAGTATTTTTAAAAATTAAAACCCACAGAAATTAATTAAAATGCTCCTGATAAAATAATATTATATGAAACTTCATTAAAGAAAACCTACTTGGCCTCACGCTATGATCTTAAAGTAAAAATATACTCACATGAGATTGGATTTGCAACGCACATAATTACACCACGAATAATAATTCTTGAAAATTTTTAACCACAACTGCTTTAAAGTGCCTTCTTTGAGCTGCAATAAGCTTAATATCATTATCAATATGATCATGTAAAAGTGCTACATAAGGTAGCTGAAACAGCAGCAGTTTGCAAGAAAGAATAGTTCACCTCCTCAAGAGATTGAGCATTCTTATTTCTAATATCAATATTGGCAAGTAACAGGATAAGATGCTCCCTCTGATTTGCCACATTTCCTTTCTTTGGACCACATATATGCGAAAGGAGATAGTCAGATCATTCAAAAGAAATTCACATGACAAAAATATCTCGAAGTATTCAGAGTTGACAAATAAACATAAAAAGGTTAAAAGAGGCTAAATTTAATTCAGATTGAGTCAAACTCAAACTTATACAAACAACAAAAGAATAGACAGATACTGCAATGCATAACCCAGAACGTCCAGAAATCCAATAGTTCAAGGTTTGTACATTTAGGGAACCTAGAATCTAACCAATTGTGGTGATTCGGAGTGAGCAAGTACACCCTGAGCATATTGCTCAGCTTGTAAGCCCAAGTTTCAAACACCAATATGGGTTTGTAAAAATCACTTCATTATCATTATAATTGAAAACGTACACAGAAATGCTCAGTTGAAGTGAGGGGGAAAAGTATAGTAAAAATCACTTCATTATCATTATAATTGAAAGCGTACCAGAGTAAATGCTCAGTTTGAAGTGAGGTGGAAAAGTATAGAGACTCTACAGTTAACAACGATTATGAAAAGAAGCAGATTAGGTTTTTAGTTGCCTGAGAGCTTAGATGCTCACAAATGAAGAAGGAAGGACAACTTATCACCTACTTGTTGAAGTTATGGAGAAGCCACTAATCCATTGAACAAGTTGATGGCAACGACCACCATTAGAAAGAGTGCTTACTTCTTTCATGTAAATGAGAGAAGCAAGCTACACACAGTTTAAGTTCAAGAGCATCAAAGGAAAACAAAGAAAATGAAAGAATTCTTTCAGAAAATAATGGTTATTTTAATTGAAGTAATGGAGTTTGAGTACAGTTTGGACTAGAAACAAGCAATCTACTATAATTCGTTTAGTTTCCTTTCCTCCTAGAAAAAATAATAATTAGAAACTAATACATCCTAAAACCTTAGTCATTACAGCTTGAATTAATAATTCCTCCTAGTAAGTAGTTTTTAATTTGATGTGTTTGACCTGCACCATCTTTCATGCCCAACATTACTGGTTAACAGACCTAAGTCCAAACTCTGTTCTCCCAAGTAATCACACAATTTTTCAATATCATGAATTTCTCTCTGTTTTCTTTTTCTTTTTTTTGGATTGGCAGTATTACCTGAAATCCAAAAATTGAGGAGAGCCAATCAAGGATGTCATTTACTTTCAGAACGCTCCCCATAGGCATAGTAGAACTCTCATTGAGGACAGCAACTCTTGCATGAATTGTGGGCATTGGAAGATGATCCACATTACGCAGAGCATTAAGTGCTGCTTTGATCTATAATTTCGAGATAGAAAAGACAAGAACATCAAAAAGTGGAATTTCAAGAAGAAATGCCATTGGCAGAAGCAAAACGGCCATTGCATGTATTTCCAGACATACAAACCTCAGGAAGTTCCATGATTGCTGGTTTAACACCGACAGCATACAATGGAAGGATGTTTTATATGTTCGTATTGTCCCCTTTTATTCTCAACATCCATTGCATACATTTTTGTCTGTTGATAAAAGAGCGTCATCACATCCAGTTCTAACTATGTCTAAGTATTCGACATAACTGATTAGTGAAAGCTAAGAATGCAAATCAAACCTTCCCATCAATGTTGCCGAAGGAACCATAGCAGTCACCACATCGTACAATACAGTTGCAATCTGAATAATTTTAGCCATCTCTTCTCTTCCCTTCAAGGCCACATCAAAAGAGTGAGACCAGGAAAATGATGCAAGCTATAAAACTTGTAAGCAAAGAAATAACATGCAAAAGTACGTTGGCAATTTAGGTGCTTTTTTTCATTCTTTCTCTCCTTTTCTAATCATTTTATTTTTCATTTAAAAATAACAATATTCTGAAGAAGAGGTTAATTACGAGAAAAACTCCCAAAGATAACAATAAGTGACTTTAGACTCTTGGATGATAACAGAATTCTAACCTACAATATTACCACTTAGCTTGCAAGACTTATCCTTGAATAGAGTAAGTTTTCAACACTCCCTCAAGCTGAAGATTATTCCAAATTTCTTTTTTGCCCAAATTGAAATGCTATCAATTTCAGCTTGTGGCAACAAACTATATCTAAAAAAAATAAAAAATACAAAAACAGATAAACCAAAGAACCAAAGCTTGTAACTTAGGAAGCTCCTCTGATGCAATGAGCTTCAAGAAAACAAGCAGCAAGAAACCAACCACTTGAATAACAGCAATAATCTCAGCCAACAATTTGCAACAAACAAAAACCACCACAGGGCTCCATCAAACAATGATGAGCTTAACAAATGAGAAACAATTTTCAATCCAACAACATGAACTTCAACTGGGAAGGATGTTACTTCTTCTGTTTTTAAACTTGAGCAACTAGTCCCAAGTCCCCTGAACAACAACTTTTATGGAAAAGCAACCACCAACAAATTGAAGAACTAAAACTTCTGAAACAAGACCACCCGCAAAGGCCCAAAGACAGATATGTTCCAGCAATATAGAGAACAATGAGAATACGGCGAAACCCTAGGACAATAAGTTCAGGCCAGCAGTGAGAGGATAGCAAGAAAACCCCCAGCATTCCCTTGAGTTAACATACAGATGGACAACAAGGTGGTGGCAGTGCATGTGAGTGCATGCTTTACTAGGCATTGCCTTAGTTCTGGGTTTCATGTTATATTGGAGGATGAGAAATACTCTATTTGATAAACAATAAAGTGAAAAAGAACAATAAGAACAAAAGGCTGAAGAAGAATTCTGATAGTAAACAACTGGGGTAATTAGACTAGGAATGAAAATTTGAAAACAACTCCAGAATACAGAAACGAAGGCAGGTAGAGGACAAGGTGGATGAAACTGCTCTGATATCATGCTGACATTTCAGGGTAAAGCAAAAGAATTTCAAGAGACTCAGGTAATGAAGAAAAACAACTGACAACTCAGCCTTTGCACCTTCCTTTTTTTTTAATAATATTCCGGAAAAAAAAGTTTAACTGCAAGATCAACTCGCAGTACCGCAAGACAATTAAAGAATAGTCAACTTATAACCAATAACACTAGCACTTAATTTGTGAGACTTATTCTTAAGAGATTAACAAGTTTCTCAACAAAAAGCAAGCCTCACGGTCTCTTGATAAATTCGCCTTCTCTGACATTTTCCTCATAATATTTTTGGTAGTAGTACAGCAGCTCCCTTGTATCACTTCTTAAAGTCCACTTTTCAGTTAATTCCCCTTCCTGCAACAAATAAATATATTGAACGTTTCAGGATATAAACTATTAGATATTTTTGGGCAGTGCATTGTGTCAATTAAAGTTTTTCTTGATCAACTGAAACTCAAAAATTATTTTCTGGTGCTAACATTATTTTCTCGGATAAAAGGAAAAGTCACTAACAAACGAAAAATAGACTTAAGGATAACACAAATATTTAAGGAATGAATCCACATAACAGACATCTTCTTTGCCATCTCATGGACACAAATGAGAAGTAAGAAATATCACATTTCGGAATGAAAATAACAGCAATAATACAAAATTAACTACCTTTTCAAGTCTGTGCAAAAGATAGGTCTTAAACTGGCGAACACCACGCCCAGTTGAATTTGGATCCATTGTGTGAGCCTTCTCAAATGCATGGAAGCGGCCTAATCAGACAAGCATGCAAGGTCATGATTCTCTTATATTCTTCTATAAGTTTCAAGTAAAAGGTACCTCTGACATCTTGAATTAAGTCAAGACATATAGGCCTGTTTGAATGGGCTAATTAGCAGCTTATAGTGCTTATATACTCTGCCTTAATAGGCACATATTAACCATTTTATGTGTTCTTTATAAGTTTAATTTAGCTCAAATGCATGTGCTTGAAATCAAAGCTCATGAAAATAAGTTCCTACCAGACCTCAAATTAACTGAAGTGCAAGCGGATTTTAGTATAATTTTGAGCAAAACTATTCTCATTTATTTTTTAACATACTTAAACAATGCTAAAGTGTCCAAAAAAACAACTTAGCCTGTTTTAGACCAGATTTACGACAGTATAGCTAATTTGATAAGTTCTAGCATAAGTTTTGTCCTTAGCTATTTTGAATAATTAGCAGCGATTCCTTAAATTTAAAGGTGCTTGGTATACTCCAAATGAATTACGGGAAAGGGAAAGAAGGGTGGTACCTCTTGCCTCCCTTTTATGTTCCATTCTTGATTTTTCTTAAGGGAGTCTATTTGACTTACAAGGATTAGTCGGCAATTTTATGCATACAATGCAGTATCTTATCTCCCTTATTTTCCTCCTTTCCTTTAATCATCTTTCTAGTCTATAGTAAGATTTATTTACTACCGGAAATGAAAGAATTTGTCACCTTTCTTTAAAAAAAGGTCAAACTTTTCTTGGCAATACAAGTCAAATCCTAGTAAAATCATCATTTTAATCTTCAATTTTTGGAGGCCCACCCACCCTCCAAGTGATTTGGGCCAAATTACTTTGTCAATGTGGTTTAAAATGTATTAGTTTGTTTGGTTATAGCTAATCCATCATGTAATATTAATTATCCAAAGTGTAACCAATAATCACATGAATGTGAAAAACGCAAAAGAATTTATAATTAAAAGTTTCATATTTATCTTCAAAAGTTTCATGCGATCAAGAACCTACAAGTAGGACTATACTAATAGTTTCAAGTTCAAATAATTGATATATACTCACAAAGATATGCAACCCTGGGATTCTCCTGCTCAATCTCATGGCTGCTCGGAGAATCGGGACTACGGCAGCAAGAGGACGGCACCATCTCACTATCAACGGTACCCTCCTCATTCTGCAGCTCCACATTCCTCGTCGGCGCCCGAGTCATTCGCCGGGACGGAAGCCGCGGGACCTTGGTGCCACTAGTGCTGGCCATGGCTCAGCCGCCGCCGCTGCCGCCTCCTCCACCAATTCAGGGATGTTTCGATGAAATCCACCCACAATATTCGAAAATTCAGCGAAATGCCCAGGATTTGAAGCTGAGGATGGATTGCAAAGAGTGAGGGAGGTGGAAGGGACATGCTTTTGTATTGGTAATGAAGAGATACTTTGATTGCGAGGTGGGGCAAGGACGAAGCTTTATCGACTGAGGAATTGCTCTGATGACAAGAAAAGAACGAAGCAATTAACGTAGGTGTTGGAAAGAAGAATCTGAAGGAAGCACTAACAAACGAATCGTCACTCTGTGTGTGTGTGTGTGTGTGTGTGTGTGTTGTCCTCTCTTCTCTGCCCCACGCTTTTGCTTTTAACTAAACAAACGAATCGTCACTCTGCTTTCTCAGGATTGGCGGCAAAGCATTTCCTTCAGCTTGTAGCTTTTCCTTTTTCTTATTATTTATAATTTATTGCTTAAAAGTTAAAATCCTGCCAGGCTGGCTAATGATTGTTCTCCTGTTTTTTATTTTTATGCTCATTATTAACATAATTTATTAAACTGTCACAAATAATTTATGATGAAATATTTTCAACGGATACTCATGTCAGTTACCTTTCAACATCAGCAATCAATTAGCATCACGGAGTTATTTATTATACCATCAAAAATTAACTTATGATTGAATCATTTTAACGCATAGTTTTGAGTTATACCATTCCACATCAGCAATCAATTAGCATCATAATTTGTTATACCATGAATTTATGATTGCCCAGATATTTTTTTTTTTTTTTGAGGCCAAATTGCTTAGAGTTTAAAGTGTATTGATAATATAGGGCAATGATTTTTAAATCAATTAAATAAATATAATTAAATGTTAACTGATTTTACAATTTTTATTCAATATTATTTCTTGGTGAAAATTTACGTAAATATTAGCATCTTGAATAAGTTAAACTAAATATTGAATTGCTGGCAAAAGCTAAAAAAAGACTAATATTGAATTTATTTAGATCTATTTAGACTTCCCATCCCTATTTCAAATAATCACTCTGTTTCGAATACAACATTTGTTCATATTGCTTAAATTTCAAATATGACAAATACAATAGGCCAATTTGTTTTAAAAATGTAAAAAATCATTTTAATTGGGTTAAACATTAAAAAAAAAAAGGTTGTTAAAAACATGAATGAGTTATCGGGATAATTTAATCGAAACACATAAAAATTGTATTGAAAAAACTTATTTTAATAAGCTATTTATTTTTTCCAACAATCATTTCATGATTAGCTTGATGTTCTCCTAACAATTCTAAACTTAACTAAAATTACTTATTCCTTTAGTTTTATACAAACTAGCTCTAAATTTAAGTAAAATCATATGAATTGATATTTTTCTAACCCACCCAACGATTGATTGAATTATTGAATTATGAAATCATTAGTAAAAGACTTTTGAAACTCACACACACACACACACCTCTGATCCCATTTTTAAAACAAAAAGAAAAGATTAATTTTGCTTGTTAAAGCACTTCATTATGTTCTATGTTCATCTTTAATGTTATATCCTTATTTAATATTAGAAACAAAATTTAAAATGTTTGTTTTCATACTTATTAGAATAAAGGTGAAACTTTATTATATTTCAAGACAGAATTAATAAGATTTAAAATTTTTCTTTATTTCAATGAAATATGTTAAAAGTAACTTGTAAACAATACTAAAAGAAGTAAATGTCCATAAAAGACCTTAGTCCTTTGTTGCCACTGAATGAAGGCATTATAAATAATATAGAAATTTATGTAATATATACATATTGTAGTATGCAATGTGTATTGAGTGAATTAATGTCCAATCATAGTTTTGCAGGTATGTAAACTTTCAGATGCTGGGATGAAAAACTTGGGCACTTGGCAGGATTGGGGATTGAGAAGTAGTTCAACTTAAAAGGTACAAGCCAAAACATGAAGAGTGATCTTCTCCAATTTCTCTCACAAAACATTTACAATTACATGTGATGATGTCACTCTCATCAACTACTCTATACATTAATAATGGGATCCAATACTCTGTTGCCACAGCAGCAGGAAATGCAGAGAGACATATATATAGGTGAGGTCAGGGGTGAGACCCTTTATTCATGTATCTGGGGACACTTTATTCATGTATCTATCTCTCCCTCTTTGCAGCACAGTAGTGCTATACTAGAGATCCAAGGTCCATTCATGTACGGAAGTTGTCCTATGCTAAGATTAGCACATAGTAATGGAGTAAGCTATACAGACAAATCAACACATTACATTTACAGATGCTTCTCAACCCTAAACCCCCCATCAGATTTAGATCCCCTGTAGCACAGCTTTCATGGTGTATGCCTGAGTGAAAATTATGAGCCATTAGATTGAGCCAAAAGGTCCGGATGATGTCCCACGTCATACGATCTAATGGCTCAAACATCTTCATTTCAAGAAACTTTTTAGGAAGGGGATCAAAATCTGAATTGCATATTATTATGTACTAGTGAGGGAGGGCGTGTATGTCATTCAATTTTTTTCTTCAGCATTTGGAACATTGAAAAGCACAGCCATTCACAAAATACTCATATAGGACTTGCTTTGGATCCCTGCAAAATAAAATAAGTGGTATCTCTGCGTTAGAATAAGGCATATTCATCCATAGGTCTTGAACTGACAAGAACTTCAGTTTTGGCAAGATCCAAAAATAGATAAAACCGCTTCAATCAGGCTCAGGACCCCTCATGTGCCTCCCTCCATGCTCTTTATAATTGCCTGTCTTTTCAATTTCGTTTTCTTTTCTTTTCCTTTTTTTTTATTATTGGCTTCTACATAAATTTAGATACAAAACCTCTACAGTTTCGGACTTCAAGATCTTAGAATGTCTTTTATTTCATGTACAAATCAATGATAAAAAAAAATGAAATTAGGAAAACAGGGCATTACAAAGACATTAGAGATAGGCACATAAAAGACTCCAAACCCCTTCAAAACCAAGATTGAAAAATGATAAAAGGCTGGGGTTGCATACTGAATTTAGTAAAAAGTTATCTTAACTAGATATCATGAGCAAGTATTTCAGCTAGTAAATTCGAATAAATCCAGGAGAATCTCCAGATACAAGAAATAAAAAATAAAAAAAATCCTCACTCCATCTATCCTGTACTGACACGCTGAAGCTATATTCAATTTGCATCAACAAATTAAATAATAAAATAATATGCACAAGAAGTATGACCGTTGAGTTTAATCACTATTTGCAACCCCAATTCTGAAGCCTTAGCACACCCTCTTCCACAAAATCCAAGAACTCACAATCAAGTCTTCAAAGCTTTGGGCTTGTTAGAGATTATAATAGAACTACTTATGGACCTGCATTTAAAATCTTAAGCTTTTGGGTGCTATTTACATGATATCAGAATCTTTATGACAAAGTCAGCAAGATTTTCCTCACCATGAAAAAAAAAAAAACCACCTATTCTTTTATTTAAAATCAAGCTTTGGCACCGGATATGGTCAACAGTGAGTTTTTTTTTTTTTTTGGTGGAGAATCCTGAGTTTGTATTTTATTCACACTTAAAGCCCAAAAGCTTGTGAGAGAACCATGCATGATTGAAAGTTTAAGCAATCAAGGGGCTTTGGCCAAAAAGATGCAAGAATTACTGAAGCATCAACAGAATTAATAAAAGAGAATTACACCCAAACCCCCAACAGGGCAATTAAATACCGCAAGAAGGTTCATTGACAATTGAGTAACAACTAGTGGACCTAAACGTAATTCTCCCAATTAATAACACCATTCAAGACTTGAAGGTGAATTTTCATATTTGGAGATTTCAATTCAGATAGCAAATTTAAGAGAGGAAGGAGCACAGCAATGCATAAAACCTGATTCGTTGAACTTGTTGCAGCGGTCCAGTACCCAGGTGGATTTGTGCTGGGAAGCCCTTGGCTAACGTAAGCAAATGCTCTTGGCTGTTCTTGTATATAATTTGACTTTGGAGGTGGTAATTCTCTGATAATCCATAACATATAGGCTGATGGGAAAGAAGAACCTAACAAATTAAGCAGACTAATCAACTACCATTATTTGCTACGATCTCAAAATCCTTTATTGGTTTGGTGGGACTTTGTATAGCTATCACTGTGAGTGAACCCTAAACTACCAAGGAGGATCTATGAAAAGAAGCACATAAGCATAATTTTTAAATCTTGCTGTATGATGCACAATGTGATTAAGAAAAGTCCAAATTATTGGCTGCATAGAGAAAGCGGTTGTCTTCAGAAATTACAGTCAGGAAATACACCTTAGATTCTTCAGCCTCACATATTTTAAGATCTAGTTCCTTAAAGTAGTGATAGGATGAGCGAATTTGAATTTGAATTTAAAATCTACGTATTTGAAATTCATACACATTCAGGTAAATTCAAATCCATGAATTTTTTAGTACCCAAACAAGGGATTTGGTCCAACTCTAAATTCATATGCATCCAAACACAGTATAAATGTAATTCCAGCTAAAAATAAACCTTTAAATTTCAATAATATGGTGGTGACCGGTTTACTTTTTAATCAAAGGTTAGGGTATAAGAACAGAAGGCCAGGCATCCTTTTTAATAAAAGCACAACCTTTTTTTCTCAAACTACAGATTAATCTATATTTTGCATAGTGAATGCTGTAAACTCAAGGACCATCTTTAAAATATTGTTTACCATCAAAATGAATGACTTAGGACTTAGCAAATCCAAAAGTGTAAATTCTTTTAGTTTCCATGTCAGGATACTATTAATTTAAAATATATAGCTTTGCTTGATTCAATTTTCATTGCAAACTAGGCACACAGTTTTCACCAAAAACGAAAGAGAAAACTAGACGCATCTATTATGTGAGTCAATGAGGTAACTGTACTATACTATCCAGAAACCTAAAATGTGTAGAGATAACTGTACTATACTATACATAAACCTAAAATGTGTAAACCCCATAATCATATACTCCAAAGAAAATTTGCACATTTCCCAAAAAAAAAAATCCAGCAAACAATGCAACTCAACGGTCTCTGGCTAACTCAACTTCAGAAATATGAGGTTCATTGCAATGGCTTATCAACTATGTTCTCACCCAACCACATGTAGCATGATCATGAAAGACTGAGTAATTACCTACAAAATAGTAGAAGATCGAGAGAACTAAAGCCTTGACACCATACATGAGCCTCAGATGCCAATGGTAGAAAAGCTGCAAGTATGTCCAAAGTGGAGTTAAACAGCAGTAAGCACAGAAAGTTAAAGGGAAACCACACTAAGAGTAACAAGGCTAGCTGAAATGAATTACTTACAGGAATATCTGTGAGAAAAGCTACAAACGCACTTGACAATAACACATCACGGAAACAGTTGCTAAACTGGCAACCTGCATATGGCAGCCAATCTATAAGAACAATAATGTATGCCCAAAGAGTTCAGATAAGGGATCCTACGCTGTTGGAAAACAGCAAAAAAGTGGTACTGTTATTTTCAGCAGATTTGGACCATTTAAATTGGATTAGAACAGCCCAGATTTCATATGTTTTTAAAATTAAAATTTTAAAAAAATAAAGAAAGCCAGATACACAAAATGTAGCCTTCTAACTGTGAACACAAGGGGAAAAATTGATGATTGAATAAAAAAATCAGGGAAGAAAATATGAAATTCAGAAAATCTAAATCAAATCTAGATAACCCCGATCTGCTAGCCATGGAGCCCAATCTCTCTAGAGTTCATGGCTGCAATATCAATAGAGGCAGTGGAGTGTATTATAAACATATGAAGTAAGTGAAAATTAAATTAACAATAATATACCTTCCACATTTCTGATGAAGCTTTCTCAGAACGCACTTTCCTCAATTTGAAGAATAGAAGGAAGCCTATGGAGGGAAAAAATGAACATCAAAGAAAATTACCCACATCAGAGTTATGAGATGGTGGTTATGGAGGCTAAGATTCTCACCATAGCGGCCTAACGCAGCAGCTAATATAAGGGTCATTACTGCAAGAACTTTTTCATATACCTGCACAAGTTACAGATAACAAACTAGCATAGTTTTTTTAAAATATTAAAATATTATTTAAGTAAAATGAACAAAATGTAACAAAAGATGAATAATCGAAGATTTCATCTTGAAAAGATAAAACTGAAATAGTTTCTTCTTTACAAGCCCAAAGAATTGACTTTCTTGTATTTTTAAGCACAATAGGTTTTGAAATACCCAATGACAAAGAACAATAACAGGTTACAGACTGAAAAATGAAAATGTGCTTGTCTCAAACCAGAATTGGTAATCCTATATAGACTCATGAATGTGCATGTGTGTAGTGGGAAGCAAGACTATATATAAGTTTTGAGTATTAGTATAACATTTATAAGAATCCTCGGTGATGAAAAAACCACATAAAGAAAATGTTCTTGTCTAAAAAGGTTTGTATTTTTTTTTCCCAAGAAAGGTTAAAAAATACATTTGGAGAATATTTATATTCTGGAAAAAGAGCCACAGAAGCTGCCTTTAATTAACATTCTATCAGCCAATATTTTTAATTTTTGAGAAATGTTTTCTGAAACAACATCTTCATAAACAAATATGGATTTCCCCCTTAAGTTTATTAACATCTCCCATAAGTCATGTTTAAAATTAGATGATTACCTAAATATGATATTATCAAAATTTGTAAATATATAGGCTACTCAATAATATAAAAATGTGAGAATAATTACAGGAAAATTAGAGGGATACTGTTATGTTTTTGTAATTTTGACTGTTAGTTAGTTACTAGCCGTTGGGTATATTCAGTGGCTATATAAATACCTTTGTGTTTTGTTGTATGGTGTATAATCAATAAATTGGAATTATTCAAAAAGTCTCGTCTCTCTTTCTCTCCTTCTCTTAACCCTCTCGTCTCTCATCTTCTCTAAGCCTCATCCCTTCTTCTTCTCTCCTCCTATCCCTCTTCTACATCTATTCAATTCTATCCTAGTATTACAGAAGTATATCAGTGGTACCAGAGCCAGGCAATCCTTGGCATCTCCGTATTGAATTTTTCTGATATATGGTGAAAAACTCGCACCCAGAAACAACAAGAAATGGATGAGCGAGTTGCAAGACTGGAAGAAAGATTCGGAAAGGTAGATACCTTGTCAGAAATGGTAGAGGGGATCTCCAATCAACTCCAACTACTCATGCGCGATAGGGAAGAAGGGTCGTCCAACCATGACAGGAGGGGGCGACGCAACCCCAGACACAATGAGCGTCGGAACAGAGACGACGGACCACGTTACAGGGAAGACTATAGGCGGCCAACCCAGTTTACGAAGATGGAGTTTCCGAAATTCTCTCGTTCTGACGTGATGGGTTGGCTTATGTGTTGTGAGGAATTCTTCGGTCTTGATAGTACAGCCGAGGATGACAAGATTCGTATGGCAAGTATCCATTTGGACGAGAAGGCTTGGTCATGGCATGTATCGGTCAAGAAATCATGGGAAGGCGTCAAACCTACCTGGGAACAGTATGCCCAGTCCTTACGGGAGCGGTTCGGTCCCACGCATGAGACGCCCATGGCTGACTTGATGCGTCTTCGGTAACAAGGGTCTTTGTCAGACTACAACGATGCTTTCGACACCATAACCTGTAAGATGGCTCTTCCGCAAGATTACATGGTTGAAGCTTATATGGAAGGTTTAGCAGAGGAATACGCCGGCCCAGTCAGGCTCTTCAAGCCACGCACACTTCAAGAAGCTCGATCTTTGGCTCGGATGCAAGAGATCACGTTACAGCGCCAGAATGAGAAGAAGATCAGCAGCAAAAATTCGTCGCACGTGGCTAGCTCTTTGAATCTGTCATCCCAGAATGTTCAGCATACGTGGGGTTCTTATAAAAACGCTTTGTTAAACGGTGGAACCCAAGGCAAAGGGAAAATGACTTCTTTAGCCTCAAAAACCCCTGTTGCGTCCACTAAGAATGCTAGCAATAACTCTAAGACACTTTCTGCAGAAGAAGAAGCTGAATATCGAAGTAAAAACCTCTGCTTTTACTGCCATGGGAAATTTTCAAGGGATCATAAATGTCCCCAAAGACAAAAATTACAACTTCACTTTATTGAAGTTCCAAAGGATACTGAGGATCAGGTTTTTATGGAAGAACCAGAGAAAGAAGACAATATGGAGGAAGGAACACCTCAGGTCTCCTTATACGCTATTGAAGGGATTGATAGTGCTTCCTCAATGAGAGTGGTGGGGTACTGTGGCAGGAAACAATTCCAAATTCTCATTGATAGTGGCAATACACATGAGTTTTTAGATCTGGGCTTTGCAATAAAAATGGGGTGGCAGCCAGATCAAGCTTATGAATCATGTGTTGAGGTTGCTGGGGGCCAAAAATTAAAGGTGCAAGGGATGTGGAAGGGCTTTAAATGGCGTATGCAAGGCTTGGAATTTGTCTTTGACTTTAGAATTCAAGAGCTGCGTTCTTATGACATGGTTTTAGGGCTGCACTGGTTGAAGAGCCTTAAAAATGCTTTTTGGAACTATGAAACTCTCACCATGATTTTCTGGTATGAAGGAAAATTGTGTCAACTTCAAGCCAACATTCCAAATCAGCTTAAAATGGTGCAGCCGAAAAATTTGGGAGTAAAGGTTTCCCAAGAAATTCAAGCCTACTTACTACAACCCATTATAAACCAGCAAAGCACCGTGCAAAATTTCTCCCTTCTCACACAGGGAGAAGTTCCAACAACAATTACAGCCACTCTGGAAGAATTCTCTGACCTTTTTGAGGAACCTAAAGGATTACCACCTTTTAAGGATGGTCATAATCATCCCATTATTCTTCAGAAGGGTACCAACCCAATAAACCTTAAGCCTTACAGATATTCAGCCTCACAAAAGGATGTTATTGAAAAATTAATTGGCGATCTCCTACAGTCAGGGGTCATACAAGAAAGCTCCTCCCCATTCTCAGCTCCTATTGTTTTAGTTAAAAAGAAAGATGGTACTTAGAGGATGTGCATCGATTATAGAGAATTGAACAAGAAGACAATTAAGAACCAATACCCTTTTCCACTAGTGGAAGATTTGTTCGATGAATTAACCACAGCAAAATGGTTTACAAAACTAGATTTGCGTGCAGGCTATCATCAAATTAGGATGGTACGGGAAGATGTGCACAAAACTGTCTTTAAGACTCATAGTGGACACTATGAGTCGTTGGTTATGCCTTTTGGCTTAACAAATGCACCAGCAACATTTCAAGGGGCCATGAATAGCATCTTCCGACCATTCTTACGGAGGTTTGTTCTTGTGTTTTTTGATGATATATTGGTTTATAGTGCTAATCTTGTTGACCATGTACAGCACTTGAAGCAAGTCTTCTCTATTCTAAGGAAAAACTGTTACTGTGTCAAAAAGAGTAAATGCTCCTTTGCTGCCACGGAGGTGGAATACTTAGGACATTTAATTGGTAATGGTAAGGTTAGAACTGATCCTAAGAAGATACAAGCAGTGGCCGATTGGCCTGAACCCCAAAATATGAAACAACTAAGAGCATTTTTGGGGCTGGCAGGTTATTATAGGCGTTTCATTAAGGGATATGGGATTTTTTAACTAAACCTTTAACTCTTCTTCTTAAGAAGAATGGTTTTGTATGGTCACAAACAGCCCTGGATGCATTTAATAATCTAAAAAAAGCATTGATTTCTGCACCTGTACTAACACTTTCAGATTTTTCAAAGCAATTTGTAGTTGAGGCAGATGCTTCTGGAACTGGAATTAGAGCAATTTTAATGCAAGAGGGTCAACCTATTGCTTATTTCAGCAAGGGATTGGCAGAGAGACATCAAGGGCTATCAATTTATGAAAAAGAACTGATGGCAGCAGTGTTAGCTGTGCTTCATTGGCATCAATATTTAGAGAGACAGAAATTTGTCATTCGATCAGATCAAAAAAGCTTAAAATACTTGCTTGGACAGAAGTTAAAAACATCCTTTCAGATGTTTTGGATTGCCAAGTTAGCCGGATTTGACTATGAGATTCATTATAAGAAGGGGCAAGAAAATTCTGCAGCTGATGCCTTATCGAGATTACCCAAACAGCAATTATTACAGATTGTTTTGGCACTTCCTCCCCTGAATTGCTTTCGAAAATCAAAGAAAGTTGCCAGAATGATGCTGTAATTACAGAAATTCAGAAAAAGGTTCAAGCAAACAATGGGTGCTGGAGCCATTTTTTTTGGGATGGAGAATTGTTAAGAAGGAAGGGAAAGCTGGTGGTTGGAAATGATCTTAGTTTGAGACAACAAATTTTAGAGTGGTTGCATTCTAGTCCCCAAGGAGGGCATTCGGGAATTCAGGCCACTTACCACAAAATAAAGGCATTATTTTGGTGGAAAAAGCTGATCAATGATGTGACAGAATTCATTAAACACTGCGACACATGTACTCGTTGTAAGTATGAAGCTGTTGCACCTCCTGGGCTATTGCAACCTCTTCCAATTCCTAGCCGAGTTTGGGAGAGTATTACGATGGATTTTATTGAAGAACTTCCTAAGTCACATGGTAAGGACACAATATGGGTACTAATTGATAGAATGAGTAAGTACGCTCACTTCATTCCTCTTACTCATCCTTATTCAGCTTCTTCTCTAGCACAACTTTTTATGGATAATGTGTATAAACTACATGGTGCACCAGCTGAAATTATAAGTGATCGTGACCCTATATTTGTGAGTGGGTTTTGGAAGGAATTTTTGCAGGTTTTGGGGATCAAACAGCAACTTTCAACTGCATATCACCCTCAAACGGATGGGCAATCCGAGGTCCTAAATAGGTGCTTAGAAACCTATCTTAGATGCATGTGTTGGGAGCAACCTAAGGATTGGAACAAGCGGTTATCACAAGCTGAATGGTGGTATAACACCACATTTCATACAGCCACTAAAGCAACCCCACATGAACTTTTATACGGTCAGAAAACTCCTATTCATTGTCCTTATTTGCCTAATGATTCTGTTTTAGATGTTTTAGA